ACATGATATAAATATATTTATAAGAGTTAATTATTCCACTTGTATCTTAGGGGTTGATTGCTGAGCAGAAGCTAAGGCAGGAGAAGAGATGGGAAGTGCCCTTGGAGGACCCAGCCAGGCTGGGGGTCGAATGCAGTGAGGGATGCGCTCAGGGTGCAGGGGGTTCCTCACATGGCACCAGAGGAGTTTCAACCCTAAGATCTGCTCAGAGAAACCAATCTCCTGAGCAGAGCTGTTGGGTTTTTCTACCCCTGCAGACAAACACTGATGCCTGGGCTCTGCTGCCTCATGTGCACAGATGCAGCTGAAAGCTGCTGCGGGAGCAGAGCCCAGCCTGTGTCCATATCTGTATCCTCACTGCCTCCTGACTTCCCCTGTGCTGTCTGTGCTTCTCCCTGTCGGTTGCTGGGTAAGCCAGGCTTTTCCTGCTGCTTTGGTGTCCATAATCAGCTCAGAAACCCCTGGATGAAGATTCCCGATTGCAGATTTTTGTAATGTACATGTAAAAAAAAAAAAAAAGAAATTAATAATTTTTTGATCCTTTTTTAAAAACTATAAACTTGATAAATCCTTTCGATCCAGCCAGTGCCTGGTCTGTTACTGCAGGCACACGGTGAGGACCCTGCTGTGCTCTTGGACATGTGGATAGGGTCAGATCCTGGACTGAGGGGCTGCTGCAATTCCATAGAATCCCAGCCTGGTTTGGGTTGGAAGAGACCTTAAAGCTCATCCAGGGACACCTTCCACAAGAGCAGGTTGGACAGGTCCTGTCCCAAGCCCCTCTCCAGGTTTCCTGCGGCCCCTTCAGGCACTGGAGCTGCTCTCAGGTCTCCCCTTCAGGAGCCTTCTCTTCTCCAGGCTGCCCCAGCCCAGCTCTCTCAGCCTGGCTCCAGGGCAGAGCTGCTCCAGCCCTCGCAGCAGCTCCATGGCATCACTTGGGCAGCCCGGCTGCAATCAGTGTTCCATCAAGCACCCAGCCTGCGTCCACCATCAGGTCCCAGAGCTGTCCTGCAAGCACCATCCCTGCTGGAGCCTCTTCCAGCACCGTGCCAAGGTGGGTTGAGGATTAGGCTGGGGGTGCTTAGCGCTGCCTGCGGTGGGCAGCAGTGCCAAAGCAGGAGGTCCCGGTTTGCCGGGGGTGCTCCCTGCCATAGGAATGAGCCTGGGCTCCAGCCACTGCAGCTGGGGTGGGAGGGAGCTGCTCCTGCTGCTTTCCTGCTTCCCTTTCAGCCTCCCAGGGTCCCTTTGCAGTGAAGCTGCCTGGCCCCAGCCGCAGCAGCGATGGCTCCGGGCCCTGTGTTCAGGTGCCGCGTCTGGGCTTGGGTTTGCACTGCCAGTTGGTGCAGAGCAACAAAAGGCTCCATCCCTGCTGCTCCTCATCCCTGCCTGTGCAGAGCTCTGCTCTGCCAAATTCCCTTGGCTTCCAGGAGCCACCCGTGCGCTCGCTCTGCAGCGCTCTGCCTTTCTTGGCTGACAATAGTCCCTGGCTGCAAAACCTCATTAGATTAATTGGCCTTGCCAGCTTCTGAACAAGCAAGCCCTTTAGTCGTGCTGGGGCACTGAGGGCAGGGGAAGGAGGGATCTCTTGGGCTTCCATGCTCCCTAGTGCTGCGTGTTGCAGCTCTTGGATCCATCTGGAATTGGGGCAGCAGCCGGCACCCCAGCTCCTTTGCCTTCATGGCTAAATCAGTGCTTTTGGGGTACCAGCCTTTGAGACTGGGGGGGGATTGGGGAGTGTTGTGCTGGTTTATTCCCCTAAAGGGGAAATCGCAGTCCCAGATCCACCTTCCTTAGCAGCCCATCTGCCCCCAGGTGATGGGGAGAGCTCTCTCCTCCTCCTGCTGCTGCTCCCTGGGTTCAGCTTGGCGCAGGGACGAGAAGCCCAGCAGGGATGCTCTGAGATGAGTCCTGAGCCCAGCAGATCCCTACGGAGGAGCTGCTGCAGCCGGGGGAGCCTCAGGTCTCTGCCGCACCTTGGGGCCCGGGCCTTGGCCGCAGCCTTTGCTGTGTGCCCTGGCCCAGGGCTCAGGTCCAGCCCCACAGCAGCCCTGTGTCCCCAGCCCTATTTAATGGAGGTGCCGGCCTGGGCCGGGTGGGCTGCGTGTCCTTTCCACCCCTGCCGTCAGCTCCTCTCCCTGCATCCCCGCTGTGGGACCCGTGTGAGCGCAGCGCTGCCAGCTCGCATCAGTGTTTGCAGCCCGCGCTCCCGGCGCGCCAATGTCACCCTGCGCCCGCGTGTGGGTGTGCGGGGATGGAGCTCGGCCTGGCAGAAATGGCTGACTCCTTTCTCGCTCTTTCTGCCTTCCCTTTCCTTTCCTTTCTCCTTCCCTTTCCTTTCTCCTTTCTTCTTTTTCCTTTCCTTTCCTTTCCTTTCCTTTCCTTTCCTTTCCTTTCCTTTCCTTTCCTTTCCTTTCCTCCTCCCTGCCTTTGCCGGTGCCTACGCGGCTGTGTGGGGAAGGCAGCCGGCTCCCGTGCTGCGGATGGCTTTATCTAGAACTCTTCCATCTGCTCACAGCAGCTCACAAATAACCACAGGGTGCCAGAGGAATTATGGATTTGGAGCTCGAGCTGCTGCAGGCTGGCAGGGCAGCGGCTCCGCAAAGGCCAGGGATTGCATGGAGACGGCTTAAGGCAGCCAGCACGGGAAGGGGCCGCAGCCAGGCAGAGCGCGCTCCCCACCCGCATCCCCTGCCTTGCTGCGCTTGGACAGGGCCCCAGCGCCGTGCCCGTCCTTCCCTGCCCGTGGCGGCAGAGCCAGCCTTGGAGCCCTGCACCCCTAAGCTTGTGGCACCTTCTCCATCCCGTGCTGCTGCAGGGTGCTGGAGGGCGGCCCGCTTCCCACCCAGAGCAGGCTCCCATCCCGGGAGGCACCGGCGATGCCTCCCGCAGCTCTGGTGGGGGCCAGGAATGATGCTCCACAGCCCGCACCAGGAAATGCCTCCCGCTGCCTTCGGCATTTGGTAAAGCCCTTCGGAGCGGGGCCGCCTTCCCTTCATTTCCTGCCTGCTCCCGCTTCCAAGGAAACCAAATCCCCCAAAGCCAGGGCTGAGGTTGCTCATTTCAATGGAACCCAGAACCAGAGCTCCCAGCCCAGCATTCCCAGCCTGGCCATGGGGCTTAACTCTGCCCCACATCGCTGCTCCTGATAGGAGGGCAAAGGGCTGTGACCAAAGGGACAAGGGCTGCCCAAAGCCCCCAGCTTGGAGGCAGGAGGCTCCTATGGCTTACAGCATGTGCTGGGCAGGGCTGCCAGATGTGTCTCACAGCTGGGTGATGCCTTTCAGCATCTTTCTCCACCCAAGAGCAGAGCAGGCTGGGCCCTGCTGTGGGCTGTTATCCCTGCTGCATTCCCCAAAGGCCTGGAGCAGCCGGGAATGGCTCTGGATTCACTGCTGTAACAGGAGAGCATCCAGCACTGTGGTGGGGTCCCAGCTTCATCCAGGCTTGGCTTTCCTCATCCGTGCTGGCAGGAGGGATCTGGACACAGGTAGGAGCTGAAGGGTGCAGTCTCCAGCCAGGATGTGCCCCACAATGGCTGTTGGCAGCAGGGAGCCAAGCAGATGGGTATGAGGGGCCCTGGCCCCTCGATCTGATGTGACACAGGGCTGGGGTTTGGGGGGGCTTTTGATGCCGGGCTGTCCCCCAGGTGAGTTTGGGGACCCCATGCCACCACCCACCCCATCCCATCCCACCAGCAGCCATGCATGGTGCTGCCTTCACCCCCATGCCTGCAGCCAGCACCGGTGTCGCCCAGTGCTCATGGGAGGTGGCAGGTACCAACTGCCTGTGACTAAAGCAGGGCTGGGAATCAATCACAGCACCTCTCACTGCTGAGAGAGGGATGAGGGATGGATGGGTTCGTGGGTGGATGGATGGGCCTCAGCTCAGCCCCAGGACATGGGGGGCTTCAACCCCTGAGCTTTGCCTCTTTCTCCTGGACTCAGCCTCAGTGGGGACTGTGGGACCCCCCAATTCCCTGTTCCCAGCGCTGAGCCCAGCCCCATCTCCCCATCTTGATGCTTTGCTGCCATAACCCCATCACAGCACTCAGTTCTGCTTCCTGATGGGCTGGGCAGGGGCGTGGGGGGGCTGTGGGGCACAGAGAGGCTGAGCTGCCCTAATTAGCTTTGCCATTGTTAACCTTGTGGCATGGGCAGCAGCGATGGGAATCTCACATCTCATCTGAGCTCTGCCTCCTGCAGCATAAGCCATGGGATCCTTGCACCGGGAGCAGGGCTGGGGTGTGATGGAGGCAGCACTAACAGCCCCAGGCTGGATGCGGCCCCTCTGCCTGCTGGGTGCCATGAGGATGAGGATGGCAAAGGCTTCCCAGGGGCCGGCTCCTGCTAACAGGATGTGATGGGAGGGGGAAGTGCTGTCGCTTGGGATTTCTGAACCAGGAGCAAGGAAAAGAAGGGGGACGTGGAGCTGTTGGAGCCACGGAGCTGCTGCGAGGGCTGGAGCAGCTCTGCTCTGGAGCCAGGCTGAGAGAGCTGGGCTGGGGCAGCCTGGAGAAGAGAAGGCTCCTGAAGGGGAGACCTGAGAGCAGCTCCAGGGCCTGAAGGGGCTGCAGGAAACCTTCAAGCTCCCTTCACCCCGAACCTATGGCTCTATGTGAAGACTTCCTGGGTGTGGGGTGACAACATAGGACCCCTCACCCCCCGAAGCCCCCCCCATCCCATCAGCAACAGCAGCTCCTCGTATCCCAAAGCACTTTTATTCCCCCCATCCCCAGCGGCTGTAAACAAGAAGCATCCCCCCCCCTCACTGTGAGCACCCACCGCAGGGTCCCCATCACCCCCATGTGCGAATGCAGCCCCAGTGCAAAGGCACTGGCAGGGGAGCGTTGCGAGGGGGGGGACCCAAAGGCAGCGAGCACTAGAGGGCAGCAGCCCGCAGCGCTGAGCCAGCAGGAGGGAGGTGTTCAAATCACATTGGGTGCTAATTAAAGCTGATAAATAAGCGGATGGATGGGAGATGGGGTGGGTTTGAGACGCCCCATATGTACAAAATAGATTCATTCTCTGATGTAGAAAACGAGGCTGTAAAACAAGAGGTGAATGAGCATCCCCCCTTAGAAAAATAAAGCATCATCAACAGATGTAAAGCAACTATGAGGATTCCCCCACTCCATATATATATCATGGCTAGAAAATATGCTTTTCTCTCTGGTCACCTCAAAAAGTGGGGAAATCGGAGAGGAGAAGCCCAAAAGGACGGGGTTGTGAAGAGCTGCCTGATTCCAAGGGGGTGAGAAGGGGGCTGACAGGGCCGGGCTGTGTCAGACGTCACTGGGGGAGCAGGAGCGGAAGGGCACGGTGGAGGACAAGCACCCGCAGCACACGGCCCACAGCACTCTCTGGATCTCCTGGTTCCTGAAGGCGTAGATGATGGGGTTGATCATGGAGTTGTAGGTGGCGGGGAGGAGGGTGGCATAGGTGTAGAGGGCAGGGTAGCTGTGATCCCCCAGCAGGCAGTAGATGGCAAAGGGCAGCCAGCACGAGGCGAAAGTGCCCAGGATGATGGCCAAGGTGGCAATGCCCTTCCGGGTGGTGACATAGTGGGAAGTGGCCAGGAAGTGTCTCTGGACAGCAATCTGGTGGGCATGGTGGCGGATGAGCCTACAGATCTGCATGTAGAGCTGCAGCATCACCGCAAACACCATGAAGAAGGAGACCGAGAGGATGATGAGGTGGTTCTTCGTCAAGGGCTTGACGATGCTGCAGGCAGAGGGCTCCTTCAGGCAGTTCCAGCCCATGATGGGCAGGAGCCCATAGCAAATGGAGGCTCCCCAGGTGAGGATCAACATGAGGTAAGTCCTGGTCACTGTCCTCTCCGAGTAGTAGGTCAGGGCATTGTAGAGGGACAGGTAGCGGTCGATGGTGATGGCCAGCAAGCTACTGACGCTGGCAATGAAGGAGGTGACCAGGAGCCCCATGGTGAGCAGGCTGATCACCTCCGATGGGATGAAGTAGACAAAGGCAAAGTGCAGGATCAAACCCAACCCAGCCAGAAGGTCCGCTGTGGCCAAGCTGCCGATGAGGAGGAACATGGGAGCCCGGAAAGCTGGGCTGTAGAAGATCACCACCACCACAATGGCGTTCTCACAGGAGATGATGGTCCCGGAGATGCAGAGGACAACATCCCACGGGTTCAAGGCAAGGGGTTGCACCACAGACTCCAAGTCCAAGGAGCTGCTGCTGCTGTTCTTGGCCACCAACCAGCTTCGATGGCTCTCGCTGGAGTTGGGGGGCTGTTCCCCCATCATGCTGGTGGAGAACAAGGGCAGCCCCTCAGTGCCCACCACCCACACCACGGCCCACTGTGTGCCCATGCTGTCACCCCACGTCCAGGCAGGGTCCTTTCATAGAGCCACCCACTGGTTTGGGTTGGAAGGGAGCTTAAAGCTCATCTAGTTCCAACTTCTGGGGGGACACCAGACCCAGGGTGCCCCCCCCCAAGTTGTCCCCAGGAGGGGGACAGAGCGCTGTGTGTTGAGGGGTGTTCACTCCTGGAGGGGGCGTCTGGTTGGTTTTAATTCATTTGCAAGCAAATAAAACCAATATATGAACTGGGGGGGGGGGGCACAACACATCCCCCTACCCCCGAGCGCTCTGCCTGCAGGGGCTTGGGCACTGCACGGTTTGGGTGGATAAACACAGGACCTACACCCCTCCACTGCCCATCCCTGGGGCTTTGGGACCCAACTGATGGAAACCCTAACAGCAGCTGAATGAGATCGGCCCCATCCCAGCCCCACCATCAGCCCCCCAACAGGGGGAATCCCCCTTTACTCCCTCCCTGGACACATCCCGGTGCCCCCCACACCCCGGTGCCCCCCACATCCCGGTGCCCCCCACACCCCGGTGCCCCCCACATCCCGGTGCCGGTCACTCACCTGCCGGGATGCTCAGCCCGGCCCCGGGCGCCGCTGCCATGGGCGCTGCCGACTTATAGTGACCGAGCCCCGCCGGGGGGGGGCGAATTGGGGGTGATGGGGAGGGGGTTGACTCATCGCCCCCCCCCCCTCCGTTCTCCTTCTGTGACGTCAATGACGCGCCGGAGCCAATCAGCGCTCTGTGAGGTGCGCCGCATAGTAATCGCATCGGGGCTGGAGCAGCTCATTCATAAAAACAGAGCCCCCCCCGGCCCCCCGCCGCCCCCGCGTCCCTCCTACGTCCACCCTTGTCCCCCACCGGCCCACCCGGGGACCCCCGACGCGTCCATGCAGAGGAGGGGTCGTCCCTTGTGCCTCCCCCGCGCTGCAGAGGTTTGGGGGTTCCACGGGATGTGAAGGGGGCGGCCCGGGGAGAAACGGGGGCTCCCCCGCCCCAGCACAAAGTGGGGTTCAGCATCACCACCACCCCCACCTTCCGCCGCGGCTTTCCCATGAGGGGATAAATAATTCATGGACGGGAGAAGCGGGAAGGGCTGGAGTGGGGCGGGGGGGGGGGAGGGTTGGTTCGGGAAGGCGGCTGGCAGCGAGGAGGAGGAGGGGGAGGAGGGGGAAGAGGCGTCCTCACCCCCGGGACGGTGCCGGGACGTTTCCCCCCTCTTCGGTTCCTCGAATCCCGGCGCTGAGCATCCCTGGGGGGGGCGGGTTTAGCCCGGCCCCGCTGCCAAAGCAGGATGGGACCGGGGCGGGACCCTGCGGCGGTCGGGAGCCGCCGGGGGAGGGACGGGGCCCGGCTCGGCCCGGCCCGGCCGGAGCTGTTCGCGGTGCTGAACGCGCCCGGTTCCCACCCGCAGCTCCGGGTGGGACCGGCGGAGGCACCGCTGGGAGGGTCGCGGTGCCCCGGGCACGGAGAGAGATGGAGCGGCTCTGGGGGGCGTATGCGGTGAGTGCAGTGCTCGGTCACTGCACTGAGTGCAGCCTGCAGGCAGTGCGTGCAGTACGCGCAGGCTGTGCAGTGGGCAGGCAGTGTGCAAGGTGTGCAGTGCATGCAGTGTGCAGGCAGTGTGCAGTGCGCAGGGTGTGCAGTGCACAGGCAGTGTGCAGGGCATGCAGTGAGTGCAGTGTGCAGGGTGTGCAGTGCGCAGGGTGTGCAGTGCGCAGGGCGTGCAGTGCACAGGCAGTGTGCAGGGCATGCAGTGAGTGCAGTGTGCAGGGTGTGCAGTGCGCAGGGTGTGCAGAAACAGGCAGTGTGCAGGGCATGCAGTGAGTGCAGTGAACACAGCACAGTGCACAGGCAGTGTGCAGGGCATGCAGTGAGTGCAGTGAGCACAGCGCAGTGCACAGGCAGTGTGCAGGGCATGCAGTGAGTGCAGTGCACAGGCAGTGAGCAGTGTGTGTAGGGCACACACCACGTGCGGTGAGGGCAGTGCGCGCACAGTGAGCAGTGTGTGCAGTGCATCCAGTGCAGTGCGTGCACTGCGCGCCCAGGGTGCAGCCCCCCCGGGACAGGGGCTTCCCCACGGTCACTGCGGCGCGCACACGACGGGACGATGATGGGAGGACAGCGGGGGATAACGGGGGGAGGCACGGCCGGAGCTCCCCTCGCCGTGCCCGGGCCTCCCGGGGCGGAGCGGGGCGGGACCAGGAGGGACGGGGCCGCCCCTTCCCGCACCCCCCCTCTCCCCTCCCGCGGGGCCGCCTCCCGCGGGCGCGCATCTTCCCGCGGCTCCGCTCCGCTCTCCCTGCGCTCCGCACCCGGCACCTCCCGCTGGCCATGGCCTCGCCGTTGCGCTGCGCGCTGCTGTGCGCGCTGCTATGGGCGCAGCGCCCAGCGCCCTCCCGCGCAGGTACGGCCGGGGCGGCGGGGGTGAGCGGGAGGAGTTGGCAGCTTTGGGACAGATGAACTTTTTGGGGGGGTCTTTTTTGCTCCCCTCGCTCCTCAACCCCGCGGGACCTCCCCCCATCCGCCATGGGGAGCCCCCTTCCAGCGGTTGGTTCCGGGTTTGAGGAGAGGGAACTCGGGGAACTGGAACCCCCACAGGGCTTGGAGGGGTCCCCCCAGTGAGGGACAAGCGGGGTGCGGGGGGTGGGGGTTCGTGGCTGTGGGCAGGTTGAGAGCCAGCACCCTCCTGCTCCGGGTGCGGGTAACTCTGGGTGGGAATTGTCTTTGACACCCCCCCCCCGGCTCCATCCTCCCGCTGCTCGGGGGGGGCATTTCCACCGTGACGTGTCCCAGCGCACCCCCGGGCCGGGGCTGCCCTCGCCTGCCCCCGTTTCGTTCCCCTCCCTCCCCACACCTGAGGGCAGGAGCGGGAGCTGCCAGCGCTGGGCTCCAACGTCTGCTCCTGCGCCTGCCACGATAAAAATAACTTCAATCCCAAACCTGCCTGAAACCCGCGTGAACAAAGTCCCACTTCCCCATTGGCTCCCGGCAATGCTGAGGGGGGGACACCCGCGCTGTGCCCCCCACCATGCATTGTGTCCGCAGCATCCCACTCCATGCCTTGTGCCACCAGTGACCCCCTTTGCTTTGGGAGAAGGCAAAGGCTTCTATCAGTGGGCATGGCCCTACCGGCTGGGGGGGGGGGGGGGGCCTGGACCTGTGCACCCCAAAGGAGTGGTGTGGTGGGAAACTCACTGCATGGAGGGGATGGGGGGAAGCGAGAACAAGGTTGGGATGGTCCCAGTGTGGCAAAAGACCCCTTGGGACAGGGTGCGAGCCCTGGGCGGGGGGGATCATGTCCAGGGTGGGGATGGACCTCAGCTGACTCCAGGATGGTGCCAGCACAGGCGTGGGATGCAGCGAGGTGCAGGCAGGGCCCGGGCACAGCTCCCCACTGCAGCCTCCCTGTGACAGCGCTGTAAATTAATGATGAGCACAAGGCAGGGCACCTCAGAGCACCCAAGTGACTCATGGCTGGGGCGATGGGGTGAGCCCTGCGTGGCCCTGGGTGCTGTGGGGTGCATGGTACTCCCTCTGTAGAGGTGCTCCAGATGCACCTTCATCCTGGGATGAGTTTCATGGGGTTGATGCTGTGAGAGGTGTCCTCATCCCTCCGGCTGCACCCTAAGGAGTCTTCCTTCATGGAGCAGAGGGTCCAGCCCCATCCCGGCTGAGGGGGGACGGGTGCTGGCCCTGCCTCACCCCTTCCCCTGGCCTTGGCAGGAGGGTGCAGCGAGCTGGAGCTCTGTGAGACCTGCACGGGCAGCCCCAGCTCACACAACAGCACCGACTGCGTCTGGGTGCGCTGTGCGACCCCCGAGGAGCCAGGTGAGGGGCTTGGGTTGGGGCTGGGGCACTGAGGGGCTCCCCCAGCCCCTGCTGCTGGGCTGGGCCGCGCTGCTTCCCATGGTCAATGTTCATCTCCTCTGACCCATCCTGTGGGAGCAGGGGATCCAGCGGCTATGCTGGGCTTGGGACAGCTCTGGGACCCCTCCCTGGAGATGTGAGTGGAGCAGCACCAAGTGATGGAGATGGGGGAAAAGAGCTGTTTACAAAGCCGTTCTATGGGGCTTTTCCCTATGGGAGGTGACTCCCAGATGGGTGCCCACCCCTGGGAATGTGCTCTCCTCATCCCAAACCCTCACTGGGGGGTTCCTTAGGAAAACCCTGCTCCTCTTCCCGCAGAGAAGGGGAGCTGCGTGCGGAGAGGGGGGGCCGTGAGGGAAACCTGTGTGCTCTACAACACCAGCACCCAGTGCCGAGGTAACCCCAGCAGCACCCCCAGACCCAGCAGCACCCTGCTGCTGGGGGTGCCAGGGCTGTGGGGATGAGATCCCACCCTGGCACAAGGAAATGGGATGTAGCGATACCCCGTGACATCCTTTTCCCTCTGCTCCATTCTCCGGCAGCGCTGAAGTCCCATACTGAAGAGCCTCCACGGTCCCATGGCAAGGAGCCAACAACGACACATGCACCGAGTGAGTGGGTCTGGGGTGCTGGGCTGGGCTGGGGGGTCCGGGTGCCCCAGGGGACAGTGGGATGGGACAAGCTGCTTCCCTCCATGTATGAGCAGAGCCGCCCTTGGAGCTGCATCCACGGAGCTTCAAGGTACCAGCACTGCCCCCATGTCACAGCACTGTCCCTGCGCCCCCCTCTGCCCTAAGCAATGCTGCAGCGGTGGCAGGATGCGGCCAGGGGTGTCATACCCTGCAGCCCACCAGGAACCAGCCCTGCTGGGAAGACACACGTCTGGAGCAGGGGCTGGGCATGGAGCAGGAGCCTCTTCCAGGAAATGGGAACTGGAGAGCACTGGGCTCATTACAGCCGGTAACCGAAGCCCGGAGCCCTCTGAATTATTGATCCCACCGGGCTCCTTTTGCCGCTGGCTCCTCTCCCGTGTGCTGCTCCAGCATTGGAAGGGGCTGAGCCTGTCCCTGCGCCCACGTGCTGGGACCATCCCTCCCCATGGAGCCACTGGGGTCCAGATGGACCCCGAATCCCCTCTCCTTGGCAGGAGCATGGGTACCCATGGATGCCAACAGCACCCATAACCCCCCCATCCCTGATGTCCATTAGGGACCACCAGCACCAGCGCCCCATTGACGGGCAGCCCCGAGTTCCACCCTCCTGGCTTCGACACGGCTAGCTTCATCGGTGGCATTGTGCTGGTGCTCAGCATCCAGGCTGTGGTCTTCTTCATCATTAAGTTCATCAAGTCCAAGGACAGCACCTACCAAACACTGTAAGGCCCTCGGGGATGGAGGGGGGATCCCACATGGTCCAAAGTGGGGGTCAGCTGGGGGGGTCTGTGGCCGTGTCCTCAGTGGTGTCTCCTGTGGCTGTTTGTGTCCATCCCCATTGTGTTGGGGGAGGGGGGGGGGGGATTTTGGGGGTTGAGGGGCTCCATCCTCCCTTGCCTGTCCCCTCCATGGTGTCCTCAGTTTGTTGCTGCCTGGCCACATCCTGCCTCTGAGCCCCATAGGGAGTGCGGGGACCCTGGCTGAGCCAAGGTGGGGGGCTCACCCCTGTGCCATGGGGCTCACTGTGTCTAATGTCTAACAGTGGGGGGGGGGGCCGTGCCCCATCTCTCTTTCCTTTCACGCTGCCAGAGAGGACAACCAGTAGGTCCTGGGTGCTGGTGGCAATGGGGACCTGCACCCGCAGAGCTTCACCCTTCCCTCACCCCTACCTGTGGGGAAGCCGGGGGGTGTCGTGGTCCCTCTCCTGGTGTGCATGGGGGGTGTTTCCCAACTCGTTTGCTGTTTTCCTGGGAGTTGTTAGTGCAGGAAGGAAAAGGGGGTCCCCCCCTTGTCCCCCCCATATGGAGCGCCTGGATGGAGCCAGTGCCCGGACCCTTGGCACATCTGTGTCCCCTCCCCACCCTGGGCATCCCCTGCCCCATTGCCTCCCCTCAGCCGTGGGGCTCACCCCAGAGGGGTCTTGCTGTGTGCTTTTGCTGTGCCTCTATCTTGCTGTGGGGTGTTTGGGGGGTCCCCCCGTGTCTGTGTGCTGTCTGGGGGGGTGCGTGCTGTGTGCTGTGGGGTGACACCTGTAGCTAGGGCTGCCCCAATTAAACTCTGTGAGGTGGCGTCTGTCTCATGTCCGGGGGGTGTAGCCGGGGGGGGGGTACAGTAAGTGCCCCCATCGCTCCTCTTCGGTGCAGGACCAGCCCTTCCCCATGGCTTTGCCACCGCACTTTGGTACCCTCCCTTCATCCCACTCCCTGGGGGGGCTGCAAAGGGATGGACCCTGGCCCCGCATCCCCCCCCCCCCCGGCAAATCCACCCGGGCCCTTTCTGCTGCCTGCTCTTTGTCCACTGCACCAGGATCTGAGGCCATCGGGCTGGGGAGGTGCTGCCCTCGTCCTCCATGGGGCAGGCAGAGAAGAGGCCGGTGCATTGCTGCCTGCATCCCTGCCTGCTGCCTGCATCCCTGCCTGCTGCCTGCATCCTTGCCTGCTGCCTGCATCCCTGCTGCTGCAGGACTGTCCCCGTCCACAGGCACAGGGCCCCACAGGGCTCCACATCACAACTATGCAACTGGCTCTGCCCTGGGAGGCACCAGGGTGGGACTTATCACCCAGTGGGTGCTCCAGGCTTGTCGGTAGGGGGGTGCAGCCAGGCACAGGGGCTCCATCCAGCCCTAAATCCAAGCCCTGGGGGCATCAGAGGGCGTACGGCCATGGCTGGCAGCAGGGGGACTCTGGCACAGAGGGGACAGAGACCCAATAAAGGATTTTCCTCCTATTCCTGGTGTCCGTGTCCTTGTCACCCATTGTCACCCCCAGAGCCCGAGCAGTGGGTGCCAAACCTGTACCTGCACTGGGGACATTGGAGGGTGCCTCCGCTGCATGTGCTGCCCCAGCGTGTCCCCTGCACGTCACCATGGAGCGAGTCCTTCCCTTCAGGACCACGGGTCACAGCCCCATGTCCAGCTCCTGTGCTCCCCGCTGGTCCCACCGGCCACTTCCATCCCTGTCCCTGTCCCCTGGGACCCTTCCCAGGGCTCACCATGCCCAGGGGGATGCAGTGGGGGTACGGGGGTGCTGCCCGGCCCTTCACCCCGCCCAGAAGCTGGGACATGCCCCGGGTGCCACCGCTTCCCCTTCCCCTCGCTCCTGTTTCACAACCGGCCCTTTGCCACCCGTGCCGCTGGGGCGCAGGATGCGGTGAGGCCGGACCCAGGCCCGGCCGTGGGGAAGCGGAGCCCCATGGAAGGGACGGACCCGCCCGGTGCGAACCGGCCCCGGTGGGAAGCAATCCGGGAGGGAACGGGGCAGCCCGGTGCGGGGTCTCCCCACAAGGAACGGGGCAGCTCAGCGCAGGACACCGCCTCTCCCGGTGCTCAGCACCATTCCGTGGGGAACACACGGGGCAGTGGTGGAGGGGACAGCCCCGCAGCGGCAGCAGTGGGGCGCGGAGGAGGTGTCCCCAGCCCCACACTGGAGGGAGAAGTGAGGGTCCGGTTCGCACTGCAATAAAGAGCCACCACATGAGCCCTCCGGTGCCACTTCATTGCTGCTATGGGGCACAGAGCCCAGCCCCGCAGTGATGCTCTGGGCTCAGCTCTGCCCCCCACCGTGGGGCCGGAGGCTATGCCCTGGGGACAAGGTTGGTCCGGAGGGGTAGGAGAGCTTCGACCCATTGCCCGGGCTGCTGCAGCAGACGGCCCCACACCCCCCGCTCCTCCGCTGTGGAGTCCATCCAGCCCACGGGTAGCCCATAGCTGCTCCCTATGGAGAGATCACCGTGTCACCCCCTGTCACAGCACGGCGGGCACCCACAGCTATTCCCTGCTCACCGGTGCCCAGGCTGAGCCGGATGCCACCAAGCTGGCGCTTGGCAAAGGCTTCATGGTGCCAAAGGGTGAACTCGGCGCACGCCTCGGCCAGGTCCTTGGCTTGGAAGCCATCGTACACCATGGTGTGGTTAAAGAGCGGGTTGAGGCTCCGCTTCACCACCCGCGTCTTCTGCCGGCTCGCCTTGGAGTCATCTGGCAGCACATAGCTGGGGTGACAGCAGGGTGAGGGACACACACACCCCACCAGCACCTAGAGGTGCCCCTCAAGGGCGCCTTCATCCCCTTACCACTGCACAAAGGCATCCACGGTGCCGCCCTGCAGGGGGACGAGGCTCTGAGCATCCTTCACCCAGATGTGCAGCTCACCTGTGGGTGGCAGCCCCCTGCCTACGGGCGAGAGGGGTCAGGGATCCCCCGCCGGTCCTGACTGCCCCAAGCACCCATGGGCCCCTCTCACCTTCCAAGCCGGCAGGGATGAACTTCAGTGCCAAGTTGAGGCTGCCCCGGCTGGCGAGGCCATCCGAGGAGACGGGCGTCTGGGGAGGATGGGGCTGTTATGGGGCGCTGTGGATGGGGGTGCTGGGCTGGGTCTGGGTCTGGGGGTGCTGGACTGAGGGTCTGGGGGCTCACCCGTGGCTGGAGGCTGAACCACTCGGGGCCGGTGTTGTCCCAGTCCCAGGTGCCCAAAGCGATTTCCACCTCTCCCAGGAAGAGGTTCCTGCCCAGGCTGTCGTGGTGCCACACCGAGAGGTTCAGGGTCCGGCCCTGCAGGTCCCTCTTCTCCAGCTTGTACTGGTGCGGGGACACACAGGCAGGGTGAGGTCACCCCCTGCAGCCATGCACCCCCCCCGAAACCAGGGACACCCCAAACCTTGAGGGTCTCATTGAAGATGGGGTCCAAGCTCCTCTTGCGCACCGTGGTCTTGCGCTTGCTGCGGTTGGACTTGTCCGGCAGCAGGTACGTCTTGATGTACCTGGAGCCAAGGGACGAGGTGAGGATGCACCAGGTCCCCCCCGCGGGCATCCCTGCTGGGGGCTGCTGCAGCACTCACGGGTCCGACCGCTGCTTCTTGGCCTCGGCCAGCTCCCGGCACCGCAGCACATGGACCTGCAGCTCCGTCCTGGCCGGGTCGTAGCGCAGGGAGAACTGGACACAGCCCCTCACGGGCACCCTGCCCAGCTCACCCTCGCTGTACAGGCTCATCAGGCTGCTGCTGAGCTGCGGGGGACAGGGCGAGGGGGCTGGAGAGGTGACTCCCCCCATACCCATACCCATACCTATACCCATATACATGCACATACCCACACCCACACCCATGCACATACCCATACACATGCACATACGCATGCACATACCCATACATATGCACATATGCATGCACATACCCATGCACATACCCATGCACATGCACATGCACACACCCATACCCATACCCATACACATGCACATGCACATAGCCATACCCATACCCATACAGACACACCACCCCTCCAGCCCCATACCGTCGAGGAGCTGAGGCTGGACACGGAAGAGCTGGTGCTCAGGAGGCTGCTTCGGGGAGCGTGGCCGTTCTGTGGGGACACCGTCAGGGGGGTCCCCAGCCCCTGGCAATGCAAAACAAAGAGGGGTGAGGGCCCCCCCCTGCAGTCCATCCTCAGTCTGGGCTCCTGAAGGCACCCAGCACCCGTGCCATGCTGACTTTGCACCCCCAGACAGTCTCCTCAGCCCCATAGAGACCTATATAGTCCCATAAACACCCAGCCCAAGTCCCACCATCCCACCTCCCCAGCATCAAGGCCACAGCGTGCAGAGTGGGGCTCCTCCTCATCTTCCTCTGTGCTGGATGTGCCCAAGGGTCTCCCATTGACTGTGTCACCTGCAAGGGAATGGGGTGGATTGGAGCTCCCCCATGGATAGGAGAGGGGGTCCCCTCTTTTGGCAAGAGGAAGTGATGATGTGGGGCTGGGAGGGGCTGCCCCCATCACAGGTACCTGGCTGGGCTGGGATGTGCTGCTCCCGCAGGGGGCTGTCTCCCTGCTGCAGCGGCCCTGGGGTCCCCTCCAGAGCTGGGGCTGTGGGGCTGGGCTGCGGGATGGCACAGACATGGTGACAATGGGCACACCTCTCCCCACCTTGCTCCCCTCTGGGTCTCTGAGGACATCACATGAGGGACATCCCATGGGACACCCCAAAGGCAGCTCCCTCCTGAGTGACGCTGCAGCCCCAGGGCTATGGCACCAGGCTGACCCAGGCACTGACCGAGCCCATCACCAGGGCATCAGGTACCCCCTGCCCCCCAGCCACCAACCTGGGGCGCTGCTGCTGCCTGCACCTCTGTAAGGGGCCTGTGAGGAAAGGCCATCATTAGCGTCTCTCATTAAGGCATGAGGCTAAAGAGCTCCCCCCCCATCCCCACATCCCCAGAGACACCCCCCCTCACGTGGAGGGCAGACAGACACCGGGACAGCGGACAGACACCAGAGCCACCCCCTTCACTGTGGGCTCTGCTCCTACCTCCAGATCCCCCCAGGCACCCCACGGTACCCATAGGAGCTCCCATTCTCACCTCTCCTCCGGCTCCCCCCCACTATCATCATCCTCCTTCTCCTCCACCAGTGGCTCAGCAATGGCCTCCAGGCTGGGGCCGTGCTCCGGTTCCCCTGCTCCAGGTGACATCGGGGACCTCAGAGGGATGGACACGGCCCCAGTGTTCCCCCATCCTGTCCCATCGCACCCCACCTCATCCCATCCCACCCCATCCCATCCCATCCCATCTCATCCCACCTCATCCCATCCCACCCCATCCCATCCCATCCCATCTCATCCCATCTCATCCCACCTCATCCCATCCCACCCCATCCCATCCCATCCCATCTCATCCCATCTCATCCCATCCCATCCCATCCCATCCCATCTCATTCCACCTCATCCCATCCCATCCCATCCCACCCCATCCCATCCCATCCCATCCCACCCCATCCCATCCTATCCCATCCCATCCCATCTCATCCCACCTCATCCCATCCCACCCCATCCCATCCCATCCCATCTCATCCCATCCCATCCCATCCCATCCCATCCCATCCCATCCCATCCCATCTCATTCCACCTCATCCCATCCCATCCCATCCCACCCCATCCCATCCCATCCCACCCCATCCCATCCTATCCCATCCCATCCCATCTCATCCCACCTCATCCCATCCCACCCCATCCCATCCCATCCCATCTCATCCCACCCCATCCCATCCCATCCCATCCCATCCCATCCCATCTCATCCCATCCCACCCCATCCCATCCCACCCTATCCCATCCCATCTCATCCCATCCCACTCCATGTCATCCATCTCATCCCATCCAGCCCCATCCCACCCCATCCCATCCCATCCCTTCCCATCCCATCTCATCCCATCCCACTCCATCTCACCCATCTCATCCCATCCAGCCCCATCCCATCCCATCTCATCCCATCCCACCCAATCCCATCCCATCCCACCCTATCTCATCCCATCCCATCTCACCCCATCCCATACTGCCCCATCCCGTCCCATCCCATCCCACCCCATCCCATCCTATCCCACTCCATCTCACCCATCCCACCCCATCCCATCCCATCTCATCCCATCCCACCTCATCTCACCCCATCTCATCCCATCACACTCCATCTCACCCATCCCATCCCGTCCCATCTCATCCCATCCCATCCCACCCAATCCCATCCCATCCCATCCCATCCCATCTCATCCCATCCCACCCAATCCCACCCAATCCCATCCCATCCCACCCTATCTCATCCCATCCCACTCCATCTCACCCATCTCATCCCATCCTGCCCCATCCCATCCCATCCCATTCCACCCTAACTCATCCCATCCCATCTCACCCCATCCCATCCCATTCCACCCCATCCCATTCCACCCCATCCCATCCTATCCCATCCCATCCCACCCAATCCCATCCCATCTCACCCCATCCCATCCCATCCCATTCCACCCCATCCCATCCTATCTCATCCCATCCCACCCAATCCCATCCCATCTCACCCCATCCCATCCCATTCCACCCCATCCCATCCTATCTCATCCCATCCCATCCCACCCAATCCCATCCCATCTCATCCCATCCCATCCATCACTGACCTTGGGGCCGCCTCCTGCGCCGGATGGAGGCATGGACGAGGTCAGAGCCCAGGTGATGGTGCCGGTGGCGCTGGGCACGGGCATCACAGAACCAGTCCCCAGTGAGGGTCCACAACTGTGACAGGTCTGACACCGACCTGCGGAGCTCACTGCTGGCAGAGGCAGCGTTGGGCCCCCCCCACTGCTGCCATGGACCCCATCCCCACCATCCTCACCATCCCCACCATCCCCATCCCCATGCCCACCATCCCCATCCCCACCATCCCCCTCACCTGATGGAGCCCCCAGGGCTGGTCCAGGGTTGGGGCCCCCAATAGCATCACCCGATGGGATCAATGGGTGCCTCCTTCTCCAGCCTGGCTGCTCCTGGGGTGTCCCCAAGGGTGACACAGGCAGGGAACCCCCCCTCACCTGATGCGCCCCTCCTCGCGCTGGCGCAGCACCCAGTCCCGCCGCAGCACCTCGGCGATGGCGCAGCGCTCCTCCTCCGTTAGGAAGCTCAGGTCCAGCAGCAGCTCAGCACCCAGCTCCATGGTGGGGATGGGGGCACCCCGGGGTGCTGGCCTGGGTGGGTGCTGGGATGTGGGGCACTCAGTGCACTTGGCATGCACCAGCGATGCCAACATCTGGAGAGAGACCTTGGGGATGCTTTGGGGTGGGAACCATCCTGACCCTCTGCAGAGAGATGGGGAGAACCTGGCATGAACACACTCACATTGCGCCCCAAAACACCCCCAGCTGGGACAAACGGAGAGTGCCAAGAGCAGGAGCAATCCCATGGGAAAGCTCAGGGAGCTCCTCCTGCTGCCAGGCCCCGTGCCAGGATCTGCCCATGTTTGCCAAGGGTGTTTGCTCCGGCCCTGCTGCTTTCCCACGGGTCCCCTCGGACGCCACAACGGGTAAAGGGCGCTGGGGCCGAACCAGGCTGAGACCGGACTCAGCTCGTGACAGCTCTCGGGGTGTCGGGTGCCAGGGGGGTCGTGCATCACCCCACTGCTGCCCTTCCTGTCCCCAGCGCTGGGGAAGTGCTGCCCAATGAGGGCAGGATATTGCAGCAGCGGTGGGGCAGGATCAGTCCTGCCTCCCCCCTCCCCCCCCCCACTCAACAGCTCCTTGGGGACCCTGCAAGCACCCACTGTCACCATGGGGCTTGGACACCAGCGGCCCCAGCCCTATAGAGGGTCCTGTCCCAGCCCCACGGCTGCCCTTACTAAGCCCTGTGGGTCCCCAGCCCCATGGGTGCGCCTCCCCCAGCCCTGGGGAGCGGGACTGGCGTGTCTGCACAGGGACAGGTAGAGAACCCCCAGACCCTCCCCGCGGCCTTCCCACCCCAGCCCGTATCTCCCAAGGAGCACCCCCACGTGCCTGTCCACCAAGACGCCCCAATCCCACCCCACCCCATCTCATTGCGCTGCCAAGGACACCCCAATCCCCCTCCCCACATCCCTGTGTGCCCCCCGGGACCCCCTTCCCCATCCCGGTGTGCCCACAGTACCCGTCGCCCCTTCCAGGAGCACCGCCCCATGTCCCTACCCACACCCTGCACCCAGCACTGGGGGGGTCGGACACACGCATACACACACACACACAGACACGCACACATACAGACACACACACACACATACAGACACACACACACATACACACACACACACATACAGACACACACACAGACACAGACACACATACACACACACACACACATACAGACACACACACACATACAGACACACACAGAGACACACACACACAGAGACACACACACACATACACGCACACATACAGACACACACACATACAGACACACAGAAACACACACACATACACGCACACATACAGACACACACACACATACAGACACACATACAGACACACACACAGACACACACACACATACACGCACACATACAGACACACACACATACAGACACACATACAGACACACGCATATATACACACGCATATATACACACACGCATATATACACACACGCATATATACACACACGCATATATACACACACGCATATATACACACACGCGCGCGCACACACACACACACGCACATACATACACACACACACATACACACATACACACACACACGTTACCGGTGTCACTGGGACGATGCCGCCGCCGGTCTCCGGTCACCGGCCCCGCTCTGGGGGTGCTCCCCCCCCGGAACTGAGCGGCACCAGCAGTGGGTGCAGGCGGCAGGGTGCTGCATCCGGCCCCCCCGCACCAGTCCAACCAGTCCAACCTCCCCGTGAGCCGCGGGGGGAGGGGGGACCGTCCTGCTTTGCAATAGCGAGCTGCGATGGGGGGGATGGACCATGGAGGGATCCAATGCAGCCCCCCCACAGGCAGGGTGAGAGGAGACAGACCCCCAACTACCCCCCCCCCCCCCCCCGCCATGGTGCACTGGGCTGCACTGGGCTGGAATGAGCTGAACTGGGCTGGAATGGGCTGGCCCATGGGTACCCCCCAGCCCCACATCTCCTATCCCATGGGTACCCCCAGCCCCTCTCTCTGTGCTAAAGCAGCCCCAGCCCACAGGAGCGGGGGGGTGGTCAGGCAGCACCATCGCATGTGGAGGGCACAAGGCTCCCTCGCACTGATCTGGTTCCCTGCAGCACATTGGGATGGATCCCGCGTCCCGGCCTCCTCCCTGGCTCCCAGCAGTGTCCTCCCAGTCTGGGCTGTAGGAGAGGGAATGAGGAGCAGGATCTCGTGTCCCAGGCCCCGGGCACAACCGGGTGCTGAGTGTGACTATCCCAGCTGCTTCCGTGTAACCCGCAGCGTGGTTCGGATGCAGGGAGGGGCTGAGCAGGATTGGATCCAGGTGGTGGCTGTGACATGGCTGCTCCATTCCACGCCTGAGCCTTATCCACAACCCCATTCCCGGCTGCTCTTCCCACTCCGCACAGCTTTGGCTTCTGGCCATGGGTCGGAACAGAAACGCGGCTGCAGCAGCAGCAATCAGTGCAGTGCTCCAAGGCCCAGCTCCCGCACTCCCAGGCCAGGCAGGGGTATCCTGCTGGGAGCAGGGAACACAGGGCTGGATCTGCACATCCCGCCTGGCTCCTGCTCCTGTGCTGGCAGGGAACAGAACAGGGAGGCCAGTGCAGAGCCCCTGCACTGTGGCACTTGGGCCCCTCCTGTCCCCAGACTCCATTCCTTGGGGCAGGAGAGGAATGGGAAAGGGGGAACATCAACCCTGCTCCTGGCTGAGTGCTGGGAGGAGGAAGAGTCTTGAAGCACTTGGAGACATCACAGAAACGAGTTTATTCCCCACCCCGGATGCTGAAAGCACAGAAGCAGTTTCAATATTGACAGAGGGATCCAGCGCCCCGCAGGCAGCAGGAGAACAGAGGAGGAGGGAATGACTGGAGGGCAACCACAAGGCCAGAGCTCTGCCCAACAGCCACGGGCAGAGAGGAGGGACAGCGGGAAGCTTTAACGTGGCTTGTGCAGGGGGGGCACTGCAAGGAGGCAGTGGTGAGATGAGGGGAGCTGCACGGAGAAGATGCTCCTCATCCACCTCCCGCACCAGAGGAAGCGGCACACTCCCCACACAGTCACAGCGACAGGAAGAACCCAACCAGCCCAAGCGCTTTGTGGTACCCCAGCTCTGGGCTTTGGTGTTCCCTTTGGATGCCATTCCTTCCATCTCTGCTGCTGGAAGCAGGATGGCTGCAGAGCCAGGACATGGGTGAAGCGCTGCCCTCCTCCCCAGCAGCCTCCATCCTGCTCCGAGCCCATCTGCTGCTGCTCGAGGAGTCTCCAATGGAACCCAGCTCTGGTTCAAGCATGAGGAGGCAAAGGAGGAGGTGGGGAATGGCACTGAATGCAGCTTTGGGAATGCCAGGAGCCGGGAATGTGGCTGCAGCCCCGGTCTCAGCTCCAGGTCTCAGCTTTGGCAACGCTCGCATTGATACCACACTGACCCCACGTGTGAGACACTGAGACTCGAGGTTATTGCTATGGTGTAAGAGGCTCCAGCCCTGGGGCCAGGGGCTCTGAGCACATCCTTGGCAGGTCACTGAGGAATCAGACTCACATCAAGAGCAGAGGCAAAGGACCAATCCCTCCTGTTCAACTGGCTCGTCCTGGGGTGCTTTACCAGAGCGAGGCAGGGGAGCTGGGAGACACCTCCAGACACCACCCTTTCATCACAAGGTTCTCTTTGATCAAGAGCTTGGCTTCCTCATCAGCGCTAGGCCCAGTGCCCTCAGGCTTGCTCTCCACACAGGCTTGGCATGACTGCACAGAGCAGGCACCAACCTCTGCTTCAGCTCCAGGTCCATGCAGTGAGGTCTGTGCATCTTCACCCACTCCACAACAGGGAGCACCAGGTGACACAGCGGGATGCTGAGGAGAAGGGGGTATGTGAAGGTGACTGAGAAAAAGGAGGAAATGCAGGGATGGAGCAGTCAAAGAGGGGTTCCCATCCCTCCCACAGGGCTGGAGGAGTTGGGAAAGCTGTTTTCTTCTCTCTGCATTCTGGGGGCCCTGCTCAACTGCACATCACCCTTTAGCCACACGTCTGTAACAGGCTGCCTGGCTCAGAGCCCCCAAAAAGCAGCATCTGAGGCCAGAACTTCTCCATAGGAGACCTGGAGCTATACCCCTACTACCTGTCCTGTCCCATCCAGGGCTTCAAAGGGCCATCAGCCCCTTGATGCTGCCAGAGCAGCATCTCTCACATCAAAGCCAGTCCTGCAAAGCACTTCACAGCTTGTGCACCACCCTGGAACCAGTCACAAGGAACCCAGGGCCCCAGTTTAATGCTGCAAAACCCAACCAGAACATGGGTATCTTCCAATCCCTTCACCTCTTCCGTTAAGCTCTGATGGCCCCAGGTCTCAGGATGCTTTCAAACCCCCTACCCTGAGCCTCCCAGAGACATGTACCTGCTGCTCCAGCCGCCTCTGCAGGTTCAGTAATGCTGCAACACACAAAGGGCAGGGGAGCAAAGGGAAGGAAAGTGGCTGGTGAGCAGTGTAATGACAACCTGAGCTGCCCCGAGCACAGGGAGAAGCAGGGATGCTCTGTGTTCTCTGGCACAAGCTAAAAGGGACTCAGCAGGAGGCTCCCAGCTCTGCAAGAGGCCATTGGAAGCCTGCAGCCTGCCCTGCACCGTACCAAGCTGGTGGATGGACTTTGCTGCCTTCCTGAGCTCCCCAGCAGGACGAGATGAACTGGCCCTGCCACAGAGTGCTCCTCAGAGGAGCATCACCACCTTCCTGTCACCAGTGGGGTGCTGCAGCACCACACGTCCCCAGGAGGAACCCCACACCTCCACCTGTAAATGTGCAACAGGGAGACAACAGCTCCTTGGTGCAGACTGAGGAAGCATCTGATGACCTCTGCTCAGAGGAAGCAACCAGAGAGAACCTTACAAGGGGCATCTTGTGCTCCTGAACCAGGAGGCAGGGTTTGCCTTGTGGCTGTACGTGGTGATGAAAGGAAGGTGCCCACACATCCCTCCCCTCTCCTGGCTGCGTCCCTACCTACCAGACTGCAGCAAGAGAGAGAGCAGGCGGCTGCGGAAGCCCTGCCGCTGGGAGATGCCACCAACAGAACAAAAACAGGAGGAAAAAGAAGCTTCAAGAGGAGCTGTTTACAACAGAGTGGAGCTGCCACCTTCCCTGGAAAACTCCTCCCAGAGTGCCAGGCCTCCACCTCTCTGCATTGGTCAGTCTCTTCCTTTGGGTGCCCATGGAATGGGGAGTTCAGAGCTGCCATCACCGCAAATGAAGAGTGAGAACCACGGTCACAATCACCCCCAAGAAGAGGACAAAGGGCAGCCAGGTCTTCACAAATCCCCCTATGCTGCAAAACAGGACAGAGGAGAAGTGTTTAAACATGGGAAATGAGCAGAGAAAGACAAAAGGGAGCTTCCAGCTTCAATTCAGGGCAGAGACCAGCACCTTTCAAACCTGTGGACAGGAGCAGGGACAGAAGAGCACCAAACATGAAGCCCTGTGACTGCTGCTGTATTTAACCAAGACAACAGGGAAGAGAAACCAGTAACCCTTGGAGAGAAACTATGCTGTGACCTTATGTTCTGACCTACCCCAGCCAAGGGACAACACAAGGGGAGGATCTGCTTTAGTGAGCATTTCCCAAATTCCAAGTGCCATAAATGAGCGGCAAGATACAGTATTTTGGGAGCAGCATCTGGTGCACTCCTGGTTCTTCTCCTAAGAACTGGCAGTGACAGCATCACCTACCAGCAACACCTCCACATGTTGTGGGGAGAGGTGGTTCTCCCTTCTCCCCAGGACAGGCTGATGCTTTACAGGGCCTGGAAGAAGGAAAGAAACAATTCCTGTGACTGCTGAATCAGGCTGCTCCTCCACTCACCTCACATACTTCCCATAGAGCAGGGAGAAGAAGCAGAGTTTCACCATGTTCCAGGAGGTGCTGTTATCGTATCTCATCAGGTTTAAGGCCAGAGCTACGTGAGAATGGCAGTTATCACAACAGAGGTTGTGCTGGAACACAGAAAGGGGCACAGCATTAGAAACCCCGTTCTTGAGACTTCCCTCCACAAACAGCCAGGACATCATCACTTAGAGCCGTACCATTCGGTGCTTGTACTCCTCTGAGGCATCGTGGACAGCCGTATCCCAGGCATTGGAACCGGTGGAGTATACTTTGCTGGGATCCAGTTTCCAGTACCTGGAAGTATGAGAACAGATCCCTTCACATCAGTGCTGCACCTTCACAACTTCCTGCTCTCCCCAGCAGGAAGATGCTCAATGAACTTAAGAGAAATCCACAGCCTCAAGAGTCATCAAATCCCAGCCTGGTCTGTATTGAAGGAACCTTAAAGGTCCTCCAGCCCCAACCCCTGCCACGGGCAGGGACCCCTTCCACTGGAGCAGCTTGCTCCAAGCCCCTGTGTCCAACCTGGCCTTGAGCACTGCCAGGGATGGGGCAGCCACAGCTTCTCTGGGCACCCTGTGCCAGCGCCTCAGCACCCTCACAGGGAAGAGCTTCTGCCTAAGAGCTCATCTCAGTCTCCCCTCGGGCAGGTTAAAGCCGTTCCCCTTGGCCTGTCCCTACATCCCTTGTCCCAAGCCCCTCTCCAGCTTTCCTGCAGCCCCTTCAGGCACTGGAGCTGCTCTGAGGTCTCCCCTTCAGGAGCCTTCTCTTCTCCAGGCTGCCCCAGCTCAGCTCTCTGTCTATCTCCTAGTCCTTGGAGCATCTTTGTAGCCGAGAAAACATTCAGATCTCTGGGGCGCAGACAAAGCTCTGGACTGCTTTCACATCCCAGCATAGGAAACCTTCTGGCTATTCAAAGTGTAAACCTGCTCTGACAGGCACACAAAACCCAGGTACCTCTTCACCTCCCCCCAAAGCCCATTAACTTCTGCAGGTTAGTTGGTTAGTTTGATGAGAACCAACAGCAGCACTTACTTCACTGGCTTCCCAAATGCCATGTTGTCTTCCTAGAAAAGAGGAAAACCGTCTCAAGAGGATAGAAGGCAGCACAAGATCCACGGCATGCCTCTTGCTGGAAGCCCATATCCCAGCCCACCACCACTTAGTGAGGAAGCTGCCACATTGCCTCAGCAGCCTCTCATTTGTGTGTCTGGATTTAGGTTTCAATTGCTTTCATACTCCTGGGCACAAGTATATTTATACTCTAGACATGGTGACACCACCTAGCTTTACAGTAGAAATGCTTTGTTCCCTAACTTTTCCTTGATTTCAACTGTTAATGCTTTGTTAAATGTCCCAAGTTATTCAGAGCATTAATTATCCCAAATTAAAACTCCCTTACTTTTAAAATCCACTGAACTATAACCTTACTGGTAAAGTCCACTGGACTACAAAGCAGCTTCGAGGATTAGCACATACCTGGTGCCAAGCAGCACGATTGTTACTACGGTGAGGAATTTGGAAGGTGGCTTCTACTCCTCACGTTACTGTAATTACACCAGTGAAGGTGAGGAGCTGCTCAAGCACAGCTTCTGCTTGAGCACCTGCATCCATCATTTACCCACTGAGCATCCATCACCTACTCACTGAGACAAAGTACGGCCCCGCGAAGTCCCGAATGACTCCAGTGGATGTGCAGATCCCCATGTGGCCGATGATTGGGAAGAGCCATCTGTGGAAGCAAGAACCAACCATCACCTGAGGTGTGTGCCCCCCGATCACACCGAGGGCATGCAGCTGGTGCCCAGAGCACACCCAGCCGCATGGCATGGCACAGACAGGCCCAGTTAACACATTATGTGTGGCTGAGAGCTCGAACAGCAAACCAGATGCAAGAGCCCCAGGCAGAAACCAGGGATCCTGGCTCCAGGGAGAGCATTCCCTCCCCTAAATGATCCCGTTGTTTCAGACTTTCTCCTCCCCACCTGTGCAAGAAGGCATGGCTGGATATAATACTGTTACAGCACTTCAGAGGGGACACTTCTCGCTTCTCCTAACTCTCCTCTCAACACTCTTTCAAGTCTCCAAGGATGCCAGGAAGTGCCAGAGGGAGAAAACAGAGCTCTTGTTGAGTATAACACTGACATTCCTGCTGCAAAACCGTATCAAGAAGAAGATGCCCCTATTCATCAGGGGATGAACCCACAGACACGATGCCATGTGAATGACAGCAGGACAGCTCTCTTCAGCAGTCCCAGCAGGGATAAAAGCTTTGGAAAAACAGACCAAGGTGGGAATCCTAAGCCACTGAAAAGAGGTAAAAACAAAGCTGGTTTGTGGCCGGATGGGAAACACCAACAGGGAAACTGCAGCTTCCCCCCCCCCCCGGTTTAACAGCACCATTCCCAACCCTGGCACCCACACACCACATCTCGTACCTGACTTCCCTCTCTGGCTCAGCCAACTCCATCACCTCACTGGCACCGGAGGGCAAGAGGCAGGGCAAACCCGAGCCTCTCGGTCCCAACGCCGCGGTTTACACCCGAGTCATCCCGCAGGAGGGAACCGGGAAGCTCCGCGAGGCGCCTCCTGACCCCTCACGAGTGCCGCGCTCAGACCGGCCCCAGCAGCCCCGCTCCCCGGTTACCCCCGCACTCACGTGAGGACGGGGATCGGGGTCCACACCACGCAGTACGGGAAGCGGCCGCGCTCCGCCTCCAGCCCGGCCCCGGCCCCGCCGCCGAACTGCTTCATCTTGGCCTCCGCTTCCGCCATCCCCGGGCGCGGCCCTGCCCGCCGCGGGCCGTCACTTCCTGGAGACCGCGCTCGCTGCGGGCACGGGCGGTAACCAGGAAGTGCGCGGCCCGGCCCGTGGGGGGCAGCACCGGGACCCCCCTGCCCCGCGGGGCGGCTCCGCGTGGCTCCTCCGTAGAGCCGAAGGGGACGAACCCGCTCAGAGGGGACCGCAGAGGGCAGGGAGAGGCGGGTTAGGAACGCAACCGTTGCTTTGGTGGCTGGGGTCAAACTGCGCAGGGAGAAGTGGGTTCACCCAGCAGGGACAACGTGCTGCGGGAGGGGGAAGAAGAGGGAGGACGGCCCCTGCTCCCATCGCGTCCTGCCGTGCGCTCCTTGGCTCCTGCCCTCTGCCCGGAGCCCTGGGGCTGCAGTGCCCAGCTCCGCCATGGCTGTGGAGTTCCCAGCGCCAAGCCCAGCGGTTCTGCTCACCCGCGCCTTGGCTGGTTCCCACACACGGCCGGGCTCTCCTCCCATGCAGCTCCTTCAGCCAAGAGTTCTGTTTTCCCGTACCTGCCTTTGCTCAATGATGAAACCAAGTCCACCCGTCCCCATTCATCAACGCACTCGCTGTTCTGAGGCTGCATTACATACCAGTGAAGCTTCCAGCTCGAAAGCCTCAAAGGGGATGCCCCTGTGGAGCTGGGAATGGCAGTAGGAAGGGCTGGCTGACAGGCCAGAGGTGGCCTGCACGCCCTCAATACACACTATGTCTGTTGTAGGAGTACTCAGGCTTCAACACAACTGGCTTAGTAAAGCACTGCAGATGACATTTCCTAACATCCCACTTTATTTCCTAGTGTAGCCCATGTTTTAGGACAGTGCTTCCAAGAGGGAAGGAGCTGCTGGGTGGAAGCAGAGCCATGAGTGCCCCAGGTCCAGCTGCAGCACGGGCATCATTGCAGCAGGACCTGTCACTGCATCAAGAATCGATCAAGAGCCTGAGATTGTGCTCCTGGAAACGGGAGCATGAGGGAACGCACAAACCAGTCCAGTTCCAAAGGAGAGAACGCTGAGGAAAGGCAGGCACTTGAGCACAAAGCCATGCCTGGTGCTTTGGCTCCTGATAGACACTTCCCATTGTGGCACTTGGGCTGGAAGATGCACACAGAAGTTGTTTGTATTTCAAGTGAACACTTTCTGTTCGGTGAGGAAAAATCCTTACATTGATTTGCTCGGGGCTAACATAAATATCAGAGACTGTTAAAAACCCATGAATGGGGCCAATGTTCACATCAGCTCATGTGGGCCTGGCACGGCCCTCAGATTAGGCAACGGATTTGCTCTTCCTGCTTGTGTTTCGGAGGCTGCTCAGCAGCCTATCACCAGGGAGCAGCTCCCTTGGCAAAGCCATGCAGCAAGGACAATGCCAACAGCCACAGCAGGACACGTCTCCCTGCAGTGCGGCCTCACTGCATGGGCAGGGGCAGTGCAGCTCATTCCCTCCTCAGCCAAGGGCAGGAAGGCAAAGGCAGCTGCTGGAGCACAGGGAGAACACTTCCTCAGGCTCGAATGACAGGAAATCATACAAATAGCAATAACACAAACCACTGCAGCACTCCTGTACTGCACAGCTTTGTTTGTCAGGCGAGCAGAAGGGCTCTCCATCCCTAGCATCGCACTGGCAGAAAAAAGGGGTGAGCTGTAGCTGCCAGCAGGGTCTTCCTAGTGACAACTGGGAAGCTGCCGCTGCTCTGTGCCTATTGATCGAAGCAGAATACAAAACACCTGAAGTCAGCAGGGAAAAATAGCTGCAGTTGGGAAAGGAACTGCGGGGGGGCTAGGGGGGTAGTGGTGGGGGAGTGGACACGACAGGGAGGGGAGAGCAGGTAAGAAGTTCTCCATGCATAAAATGAAAGGTCGGGCTTTTGATTGCAGCTCTCCTGCCTACCGCCAAGGCTGGATCGATGGAGGGAGCAGGAATGCTGCCATCATTGCCTCTGCAATCTCTCATGTGAGAAACAAAAGGTTTCACTCCCACTTCTGCCAGCAACTTGCCACCGTTGTCTGCCAGGACGCGGCTCTACCTCCTGTTGGGCCAGAGCATTCTCAGGACACAGAAAACGTTTGCCTGCTCAGTGCAGGTGCCAGCACACAGGAGTCTTTCTGAAGGGGAGTCCATCCACTCTGCCCAGACCAAGCACCCATGTGAGTCTGTGGAAGCACCATGGCTGGAGCTGGAGCTGAGCCTGCGGGGATGCAGTTACCTCCCCTTCCCACCCCAGCTCATCGCAGAGCCTGCAAATAGCAGGCACCCAGCCAGCTCCTGTTCAGAGAGCGGCTTCCTTGGGAACCTTCCCTGTTGTGACAGCTCAAACATTGCAGGGACTGCCAGAACCAAACCACTCAAGGAAGAGATCCCCTCCCCCTGCTGACATTGACAGCAGAGGCAGCAGCAGCACCACCGTACAGGAGCCTAGTGAGGATGTCACCACCGCGGCGTCCTTCCCCGTGCTGGAGGTGATGCTGGGGTGGGCTGCTGGTTTGTTGTTCCCTTCCTGTGGTCTGTGCCTGCTGCAATCTGACAGCCTCAAATTGCTCAGCAGGAACCAGGGAAGTCACTTGCAGCTGTGTTGATGGGGCTGCTCCTCAACAGGGTGAGAACAGTCACAAGCTCAGCCACCCACCCCAAAAGCATGCCCCTAAGCCATTGCACCCCCCAGCTCTAAGCTGCATGGCTTCGCTGCTTCCCTGGCACTTGAAAGCTGCATCTCCTCTCCCTCTCCAAGTGACACAGCCCATCCACAGTCAACTTCTCTGGTTAAAGGAAAAACCACCAGTTTCTCGGGGACAAAGTGGAAGAGCACAGAGAGCCAAATGCAGTTCACAAGGATTCCTTAGCTACCACATCCAGCTACAGGCCCGTCTTCTCTCTTTGCTGGCCCCAGAGGGGGTCCTGATTAGCCTCACCTCCTGTAGCAGCAAGGCCTGAATCAGCTCCAAGGAGAAGAACAGGCAGAGGCCTGAATTCCTCACTGCAGCAACAGCAGGCAGCTTCCCGACATCCTGCTCCCATTTTGCTCAGACAGGAACCATCTCGAGCCCTTTGCAGATGTGTTCCTGGCACTGGGCAGTGTTACATCAGAGAAAAGTGACCTCATCAGCACGGCTGGGCCTGCTCCTCTCCCCACATCCCAGCACATGTCCCTCCTCACCCTCCTCAACCCAATTCCTTTACCTAAATCACAACCAAAACTCATTTGCTGGGTCCTTCTACCCATTTCTACCCACAAATTAACCACTCGGCTTTCCCTTCCCCACTTCCTCTTTGTCCAACCATTCACTCCACGATCTGACCCAATTAGCTGATTGCCAATTCCAGCTGTGGATGCACATTGCTTTGTTAGAAGCAGAGCTGCCTTTTAAACCCATCATTTCATTCAGACAGGATTGGGAATGAAGAGGCCTCCAAAGACCTACAGCTGAAAGATGTCCAATGGGAATCTTTTAAAGAGAAGAGTTCCAGCGGATGCTGAAAATAGCAAAGTGAGTTTCAAACTCTTACTTATGTGGTGATTCAGGCCAGTGACCCACAGCCTAAGTCCCCAGGGCTCTGTTCCTCAGGGCATGAGGCTATTTGAGATGAGCTACAAGGCAAGATGGGACCATTTTCCCTCCTTGGCTCTTTGCCTCCCCTTTATTCACCTCTAACTCTTGGGTTCAGCAGGGACTCCATGAGGATTTGATCAGATGTATCCCCCACCCTGACAAGACATGACTCAGAGAAACCAGCCCCATCTTACACCACTCCTCTCCCTGTCAGACATGTGCGTCACTTCTCCCTCCCCAGCAAGCCCCAGCTTGTTCCTCCTCACCCCAACATCCGCAGCTCTGGCTCTGAACCAAGCCAGAGGTGGGTTCTGCTCCTGAACGCAACCCCAGCCTCCTTGCACTGACAGAGCCAAGCTCCCACACCTGATAAACCAGTATCAGCACTAACCCAGCAGCCACCACAGCTTCCAAACGAGTTCTGGAGCTTCCCATGAAGCCCTGTTGAGTAGACAACACCCAGCCCCACCAGGCCTCCCTCCTCCCTCCCTATCCACTTCCAGAGAGCAGAAAGGTAGAACAAAGGCAGATCAATCCCCCAAACAAAATGACACCAAGAAAAAACTAGAAGAAAGAATTGTTTAATCTCTTTAACCCTTTCTCTTCCAGGACCAGAGAATCAAGTGTTCTGCTCCTTCTAACGAGGGCAGTAAGGCTTGTGTGTTACTTCTACAACTGCAGGGGCAGAGTTTACGAGATGATTGATCACCTTTAGTACTTGGAAAAGCGAGAAGCAATGGTCATTGCACTACTAAAGAGAATCCTGGGCTCTCCTTACAGAGAGCTCGCTGCTAGAGTACAAAAATAGAGGAGGCATCCCTGCATATCCCAGCCTAGAAAGAGTTAACCAGATAGAGCAGGAAGAAGCTTTCCCAAAGAGGGGGTTGAAGTAAACAGCAGAGGTCAATAAAGCAACATCTTCTCCCTACTTCCCCAGCATGGGTTTTATTTCTTCACCAATAAATACAAAGCCCTCATTATCAAGTGACAGAGCAGGTAATCTGCCCAGGACAAGGGGCCAGAGGCAGAAAGGTTGTTCTCTCCCCTTCTCTCCCATTATCATTCCTCATCTTTAAACCAAAGCAGCCATTAACAACAAGCAACCCACTGCAGAGGCAGGGAATCTTCCAGCTCTCCCACAGCTCACAAGGGGAAACCCAACAAGAAATAGCTGCCACAGCACAAGGTGAATGGGGAGGGAGAGGCCTGTTCTCTTCAGAGCTTTCCAATCTTGGTGTCTCCGGTTAGAAATCAAAGTGTGCAGACGTTGTCTCCTGAAAGCTGGGAAAACAAAGTTTGAGTGGGAGGAGAAGAGGAGAAAAAAAAGAGGCTGCAAAAAAAAGAGGGAAGCCTGAAGCAAGGAAAGAAAAGGCCAGACCATGGCAAAGAGCCACCCAAGTGAGAAGAGTTTTTTTGCTGTCTCTGGGTTGGGAAGAGCACCGAGTGTTGGAGTACACCTGGGACACCTTGTGAACCCCACACAGGTACATGGAGTGAGCAGGCACACCTACACCATGCCCTCAGAGCCAAGTGAGGATCTGGATCTGTCCCAGGAGAGCTCTGCTC